TCTCTCTCTCTCTCTCTCTCTCTCTCTCTCTCTCTCTCTCTCTCTAAATGAAAATAGGCGTTCGTAACTAAGTACTTTAAGCCAAGTACGGTGCGGTCACAGGTTGTCGTCGCGATCAGTCGAGTTGTTTCCACCGTCGTTCTATCCATCTTGCAACAAGAGTGCTAGCCCGGTTTTGAAGAACTCGTCTCGCGCAGATGGTGCTACTCCCGCACGGTCTAACAGGCGTAGCCGTTTGTCTCGTCCATACACGCGCAGCACGAAGGGAACGCGCCTGCTGCTCTCATTAGTTGGTTCCTGCGGCTCGCGAAAAAGCCCGAGGGGTTATATGACCGGTAGGGGTGAGAATAGGAAAAAAGACGGCAGGGGTGAGACGGGAGATCCGAGAACCCTTCAATTCTTTCGCTCCAGATCTAGCGTCCGTTAATTGGAGGTTGTTTGACTACGCACCAACCTCACCCTCTATCCCTTCCTCGCTCCCTCCTACCTTTTCTCATTTTTCTTTTTTCTTTTCCCTTTTTTTGACTCATCTCTCTCTCTCTTCCTCTCGCTTCCACACCCCGTCGATGTCGTTTTCTCGCACGCTCTCGTTGTTCCTCCGATCGAAAATTTTCGAGCAGCCAGTTTGGTGGAATTTCGTCCGGTGGATATGTCGATTTTTCTTTCGGCAAATTATTAGCCCTCTGCTAATTTGACGCGCGCGTGTAGTAGTGTTCCGAAAGTAAAGGTCACTTGGGAAAAAGGAAAAGAGAATGAGTGAAAAGCGTTGAAAAGTAGATGAAAAGCTACTCGAAAGTATATCGCGTGAGTATAGGACGAGTGTAGCAGGACTGTTTGTACGGCGCTAACGATGAACAAACAGAGCGGAACGGCTTAGCCGATACACCGACTATGTCGCGTGACTCATCATTCGGCTGGGGACCGAAACGATCAAAAAGAAAGGACTGGGATGCGTTTATGAATCTGATATTCTATAATATCGCGTTCTTTCCCCCGACGACGATTAGCGAATACCCCCCATAGGTAGAGATAGAGAGGTAAACGCTGGCAAAATGGTAAGGAAAGGAAAAAGTGACGGCGGTGGTTTGTTTGTTTGTTTGTTGCAGTGTTAAGGGATGAATTTCGAGCGGAACCGCAAAATACAAGAGTCGCAGCGGGAGAGACCGCGTTATTAGAGTGTGGACCACCCAGAGGTCATCCGGAGCCAACGTTACACTGGAAAAGGAACGGGCATAAGATAGATTTGGACGTGACTAAACGGTAAATAGGTGTATTTTAAACGAATAACGAACGAAACGAGAACCTTTCTTTTCCTTCTCTTTCTGCAGTATCACTTTGGTAGATGGGGGGAATCTGATGATTTCGGATGTGAGGCAAACGGATCAGGGAAAATATCAATGCGTTGCTGAGAACATGGTAGGCGTGAAAGAATCGGCAGTGGCAACTTTGACGGTTCACGGTGAGCGATATCTGCGACGATCGAAGAAAAGCGTAATAAGAAGGAGACATACACGTTCGAATTTGTCCGTTTCTCATTTTTCCGGTTAGTGAAGCCATTCTTCTTGTCGACTCCTGCCAATCAAACGATCCTGGCGGAACAAACAGCCGAATTCGCGTGCCGCGTAGGCGGCGATCCTCCGCCTGAGATCCTTTGGCGACGGAACGATGGGAAAATGCCGATCGGTCGAGCGCATATATTGGACGATAAGAGCTTGCGAATCGAGAGGGTGACGTCGCAGGATCAAGGGACGTACATTTGCGACGCTGAAAACGGCGTCGGTGCGATATCGGCCAGTGCAACGTTGATAGTGCATTGTAAGTGTGCGGCGGTGCGGCAACAGGACTTGGCGATCCAAGTGAGATAGATTATTTGATCTTTATCGCGTTTTCTAGCACGACCAGTCTTCACCAGTTTCCCCAAAGACGAGATAGTCAGCGTCGGATCGAACGTTTCGTTTTCCTGCGCGGCTCGTGGCGCGCCAGAGCCCTCGATATTTTGGACCCGCGAAGGTTCCCAAGAGTTGATGTTTCCTGGAAACGAGTACCAGGACCGCTATAGAATCGCAGAAGGCGGCAGTTTGCACGTTAAAGGGGTGATTGGAAAGGACGAGGGACACTATGTTTGCAGTGCCATCAGTCAAGCTGGTGCTAGCACGGCAACCGTTTTCCTTCAGGTATCTCCCTTTCCAGCCAGATTGGTTCGTTCGATTTCTCCACGAGCATTCTCTTGACTCTTTTTCTTCTAGGTTACGTCGATCGAAGAAGCTCCGCCGCCTATAATCGAGATAGGAGCGACGAATCAAACTTGCTCTCCGAAGGAGCAAGTGTCGATGCCGTGTCGTGCGTTTGGAAGACCCGTTCCACAGATCCGATGGTACAAGAACGAGGAACTAGTGCGGACAGGCACCGCCACCGACGATCGATTCGTGATCGCGAGCAACGGCACCCTCTCTATTAGAAACGTTCAATTGAGCGACACGGGAATGTACAAGTGTGTCGCGTCCTCTGAGTCCGGTAATACATCGTGGACTGCCAGTTTAACGATCAACACCAGTTCGGGAATCGGTCATCGCGGCGTAGCAACCGCAGCAGAGCAGCTATCGGTGCTTCCCGAAAGTCCGAGTAAACCGCGAATAGTGAACACGACCAGTAATGCAGTTTCGCTCACCTGGAGTCCGGGTGGACACGAAGGTGCTAGCAAGATAATCGATTACACCGTTGAATACTTTGCTTCGAATCCAAAGACCAGCTGGATAGTTGCCGGTGCAGGAATTACAGACGACACCTATACCGTAAGAACGCGCGTTGTTGTATAATAAACACAAAGTATTGTAAAATTGACAGGCTCTCCTCTTTGTTGATAGGTAACCAATCTGAAACCCGACACAAGCTACGTGTTTCTTGTTCGCGCTCGGAATGCTCAAGGACTTTCCCTTCCTGGTCCTCTGTCGGATGCTGCTCGCACGACCAGTCTCGACCAACACGCGATTCCTCAAACCGTACTGATTCGTGCAAGAGATCGTCTCAACAGCGAGATTCTTTACTTGAAGGATGTTCAACCTTTGAGCAGTAGCAACGTGAAGATCGTGTGGGATGTAAGTGTAGAGAGTAAGAATTCTAGATTGAGTGTCGTATCGTCTTAATCTTGATACGACGTACACCTACTTTCGATTCACGGCGATCTGCTAAGAAAGTGCTTCCTTTTTTTCCCTTTGTACCTCGTGAACCACCTTTAGATTCTCGGAGCGGCTGATTTGGTGGAAGGGCTGTACATAAGGTATCGGGAAGTTTCCGAGAAACCAGAATATCGAATGGTGACTGTTCTAAATGCCGGAGCAACCAGCTACGTTTTGACCAACCTGAGCAAGTACACGCGCTACGAGTTTTTTCTAGTTCCTTTCTTCAAAACTATCGAAGGTAGACCGAGTAACGTGAAATTGGCGACCACGTTGGAGGACATACCTTCCGGTGCACCCGAGAATGTTCACGTTGGCATGATAAACGTAACTTCGGCGTTCGTTCGTTGGTCTCCACCGCCGAAAACTACTCAAAACGGACAATTGATAGGATACAAGGTAGTAAAAAGTGAAGCAAATTGTCTCTCTCTCTCTCTCTCTCTCTCTCTCACACGCATAATCTACTCTTCTTTTTCTCTTGCGTTTACAGATTCAAATCAAGAGCAACAGCAGCAACAAGATTCTCGGTCAGATGTCGTTAAATGCGTCGACGACTTCGGTGATAATCAATAGTTTAACGACGGGTGGGCTTTACACGGCCCGCGTTGCCGGATTAACTCGTATTGGACTCGGCCCTTTTTCCAATCCAACTGTTCTGAACATGGATCCGGGACAATTAACGCAGTTGCCGCCGCGTACGGATCCAAGCCAGAGAAACGCCTCCGTAGTCGGTGAAACTTGGTTTCTAATTCTGATAATAACGGTCGTGTTGACCGTTATCGCCGCCTTGCTGGGAGCTCTGTACGTTCGACGAAGGCAAGCGATGAGCAAACAACTGGGCCATTTGAGCGTTCCCGTTGGTACAGCCAACGACATTTGTCAATTGAACAATAAGGACACTCTGTGGCTGGAGCGAGGCTGGAGACCTAGCAACACTCTCCAGGCTTCCTCCACCGATAAGGATTGCGAGACGAAACTGTTGAGTAATCAAAATCAAATCGGTCTACCACCTGGAATCGTCGGAATGACAGGCTCGGAATACGCCGAAGTGAATCTAACCACATTTTACAACGCCCGGAAACAATTGCAAGCTCCGCCAGAACCGTACGCGACAACCACGCTTTGCATGCCTGCCCGTAGTCCGGATTCGGTAGAAACCACTGGACGAAAGTCCAATTCCAGCGACTCCTGCCTCAAGCCGGACTACTCGAGTTTAGATTCAAACTTGGACCGTAACAAATCGACCGTGTCTCCGAGCAGCGACAATGCCAGCAGCGTTTACAACGGCGGAGAAGATAATAACGCGGAAGCGCAGAGGAGAGGTCATCAATACAGAATGCCGCTACCGAACGAGAATCAGCCGCCGAATTGGTGCGACATGCTACCACCCCCGCCAGATCATCCACCTTCGTTCGAGGGATCTCTCGGCTCTTCTAGATCGATGCATTCGCATCAACACCAACACCAACACCAACATCCACACCAATATCAATACCATCACCATCACCATCAACATCAAATTCAGTATCAACAGCATCCGCATCATTACCAACAACAACAACAACAACAAACCGCGTTTAGCCCTCACCTAGGAAAACGGAGTATAGAGAGACAGAACGATTTGGACGTAATGTCTGGTACCGGCTTAGCTTTGGGACTAGGCTTAAGTTCCAGTTCGAATTCGGGCTCCGGATCTGGTTCGGCAAGTGGCGGTGGCGGCGGCGGGGGCGGTTCCGGCTCTGGATCGAGAAATTCACAAAGTCCACCGAGTCCACCGATCAGAGGGACGAACAATTTGGGAGGTTCGGGCACTATTTGGAACGGTTCTTCGAGTCAACAACAGTCCCAATTGTTCGAGGGTTGTTCGATTCAGCAACAAAACAACGTGCATCAACAGGGGGGTAGTAGCAGCAGGTACACGAGTTTACCTCCCCAAACGAATCCACCGGCGCTGCCCGTTTTTCCGCAGAGCTTCGATTGCTACGATTCGTACAAGGGTACGAACCAAGAAAACGAAAAAAAAAGTACGGACAACGAAACGACTCGCCCCTCGAGGACTACGATTCCACCTACAGTCACGTGAACCGAACGGATTCTCGTTCGGAACGGTCAATGGGAAACGAAGAGATCTATCGGCGTGGTGGAAACGACGAAGATGTCTATCCAAGCGAGAACCTTTATCAGGCTGAAAACGACGAATGGGATAGAAAATCGTGCGACTCGAACGCACACTCGGACATGTGCTGTTCTTGTTCCGAATCCAGTTGCCTCTATGGGAACACCCTCGAATACAACGATCAGTTTGCCACCTCGTCGTCAACGGCGGCGGGGGGG